GACTAAACTACACTCGACATGACTAAACTATACTCCACATGACTAAACTATACTCGACATGACTAAACTATACTCGACATGAGTAAACTATACTCAACATGACTAAACTATACTCGACATGACTAAACTATACTCGACATGACTAAACTATACTCGACATGACTAAACTATACTCGACATGACTAAACTATACTCGACATGACTAAACTATACTCGACATGACTAAACTATACTCGACATGACTAAACTATACTCGACATGACTAAACTATACTCGACATGACTAAACTATACTCGACATGACTAAACTATACTCGACATGACTAAACTATACTCGACATGACTAAACTATACTCGACATGACTAACATTCTAATGTAACTTACACCTTCAACACGACCTCAGATAAAGCCAGTGTTTCTTCCAGACTTTTTTCTCCGGGGGGGGGGGCACTCGAAATTCTCGGGGGGGGGGGGGGGGGGGGCGGTAGACTTTCTTCGGGGGGGGCGGACACTTTTAAAAGTATATATTTTCTATATAAATTATATAAATTTCATTTCGTTCGGGAAGAGATGCCTGGAAGAAACTCTGGATAAAGCTTATTTAATATCAGGATCAACGTCTTAAGATTGACTTAACCTGCTTAAAGTCACCAACATCCAAATCTTTACCTGACTACAGTATTATATTTCATCGTCATATCGTCATAATTCTCAATCTTCACCACATATATTGTCATCTCTAAGATTATCATCTCTAAGATTATCATCTCTAAGATGCTATTAGGTTTAGCATCTCTTCTATAACCGCCTCCCTGTTTAGTTTGATCTATTAATCGACCGATATTTTTATGGGGTCTACGACAAATTCCCGAAAGACACTTGCCCGAATGCCGTTTGCCCGAAGGCCGATTTCCCGAATGGACACTTGCCCGAATGCGACTAATGCCCGAATGGACACTTGCCCGAATGCGACAAATTCGGGCATTTGTCGCATTCGGGCAAGTGTCCATTCGGGAAATCGGCCTTCGGGCAAACGGCATTCGGGCAAGTGTCTTTCGGGATAACGTCCGGCTCCCATGTTTATGTATAATTTCAAGTAATCATCATGGATTACATAAATAAACACCGTTTGTTTTTACAATGCTTTTTTTATGTAAATGTTTGTGTGTAAGTGTGTAAGTGTGTGTACGTGCATTCTTATTTGATAAGACACTTACGATCTCCTACGGTTTGAATATCCAAATTAAAACTTTTCACTGACTCCTTAGTTCATGTCAAACTATTCACTAACTTTTTTTTTCCTTGAAAGAAATATATAAGTAATATAGAAATATACTGCTACAAGTGTCAGCAAATCCCCCCCCCCCCCACAGAAAGTTTAGTCCGCCCACGAAAGTTTCGAGTGCCCCCCCCCCAACCCTCCCCCACCCCCCTTTCCCCCCACCCCCCACCCAACTGAGAAAAATCTCTAAAAAAAAAACTTGAAGCTGTTGTTCACGCAAACAAATGTCCATCTATAAATAAACTTTCGGAAATACGAGAAATAATTCGGTAATTTTAATTACGTGGTTAATTAAATCTATCAATTTTTAGATTTACTTTTATTTATTGCGTAGCATCTGTGTTTGTGTCAATCTAATTATAGTAACATGACACTTTTCTTATTAAAAACAATTTTGGGATCTGTAACGGATTTATGGAATTTCATCCAATTTCAATAGTGGAAACTGCTTTGTGATACGAGCAATTTGACATAGGACAAATTGGTGAGCCACTGGTCACTTGGCTACAACACATTTGTGTCATCACCAGCATTGAGTCATCGCTAACATGGAGTCATCACATCACTAAAATGGAGTCATCACTAACATTGAGCCTTTATTAACATGGAGTCATCACTAACATGGAGTCATCACTAACATGGAGTCATCACTAACATGGAGTCATCACTAACAAACCATTAGACACACCTTTGTGGGGGGGGGGTATTACATCAGGTGACCCCATTATGATCCCTCCCTCACACAATCGTCACACTGAGTCACAAGTTCCCAGAAGTGTGGGTGGGGCGTCACACTGAGTCACAAGTTCCCAGAAGTGTGGGTGGGGCGTCACACTGAGTCACAAGTTCCCAGAAGTGTGGGTGTGGCGTCACACTGAGTCACAAGTTCCCAGAAGTGTGGGTGGGGCGTCACACTGAGTCACAAGTTCCCAGAAGTGTGGGTGGGGCGTCACACTGAGTCACAAGTTCCCAGAAGTGTGGGTGGGGCGTCACACTGAGTCACAAGTTCCCAGAAGTGTGGGTGGGGCGTCACACTGAGTCACAAGTTCCCAGAAGTGTGGGTGGGGCGTCACACTGAGTCACAAGTTCCCAGAAGTGTGGGTGGGGCGTCACACTGAGTCACAAGTTCCCAGAAGTGTGGGTGGGGCGTCACACTGAGTCACAAGTTCCCAGAAGCGTGGGTGTGGCGTCAGACTGAGTCACAAGTTCCCAGAAGTGTGGGTGGGGCGTCACACTGAGTCACAAGTTCCCAGAAGCGTGGGTGGGGCGTCACACTGAGTCACAAGTTCCCAGAAGTGTGGGTGGGGCGTCACACTGAGTCACAAGTTCCCAGAAGTGTGGGTGTGGCGTCAGACTGAGTCACAAGTTCCCAGAAGTGTGGGTGGGGCGTCACACTGAGTCACAAGTTCCCAGAAGTGTGGGTGGGGCGTCACACTGAGTCACAAGTTCCCAGAAGCGTGGGTGGGGCGTCAGACCAGCCCGACTGTTCCTACATGACGGAAAATTTACGACCCGACGAGAGAACGGAACCCAGCTGTTTGAAATCAGTTACACTTTTTAAAATGTTTGAACTAGATCTGTACAGCAAAAACTATGGGCCTTATGGTTGTGGTCGGGTGGGTGGGTGGGTGGGTGGGTTAGGGGGGGGGGATACTTGGCATTGTTTAATCAGTTAGCCAGGGGCGGAACTTTCAATCTGCCAGACCTTGCCTGGGTGGCGGAGTGCTAGGTCATTTAAACGGTTTTAAATAGTCAAATCGGGTTCAATCAACTTCATTGTGAGAAATGTGTTTGGAAATTAACTATTAAAAACAGGTTTTTATATAGTGTCCTTTTAGTCTCCGCTTTATAGCTGAACAGACGGCTCAAGTTTGAGAACTATATGTCCATAACACAATACTAAGATATATATATATATATATATATATATATATATATATATATATATATATATATATATATATATATATATATATATATATATATATATACTAGCCATCCAGGCCAGGCCCTGCACTGGCCTCTGTGAAAAACCTATCTGTGTAAGACCGTGACTTGAGTGCTGATTATGTACCCAGCATTGTGCGGGTTTAGGATATAATAATATATTACTTTTCCAATTACATGTCCATATTCAAGTTTGGACGTTTGAGAAAATAGCACATAACCCATAACCATAACACAAACGCAAACGTAACGCAAACGCAAAGACAAAAGCACACAAAAAGCAAACGCAAACACAAAAGTAAACACAAGCTCAACCTCAAACAAAAACACAAACACAAACACACGCAAAGACAAATGCAAACGCAAATGCAAACAAAACATAATCAAACAAATAAGCAAACGCAAACTTAATAACAAAAAATAAACATAAACGGAAGCATAAAAGCTAAAATAAACGAAAACGTAATCATAAACGCTAATGCCAACAACAATGCAGGAAATATTGCAAAACAACTAAACCCAAACATAAACACAAACTTAAACGCAAATATAGACTCAAATATGAGCACAACTTTAAAAGCAAACAACGCAAACGTAAATATAAACGGATACATATACACAAGTTTAAACGCAAATGTAAACGCATAAAGTAATGCAAACATAAACGCGAACATAAACGTAAACTGAAACGCAAACATAAACGTATAGTGCTCACAGTATATCCCGGAGAACGTGATGATGAGAGAATTATGAAATCAACCAATTACCAACAATACCCTAACTGATGGACAGAGATGCCGCGACAAACTGTTAATATGAGTTGAATGTCAGAAGATTGGAATATAATAAAGTTGTGTGTGAGTAAAGCTAAAAGCGTTAATGTGTGAATTTATTAGGATTTGACAATATAAGGACATTTCTTGTATATATTACCTACTTGATATTGTAAGGTTGAATAATCTGTTTAACTATGGTATGTTATTAGAGGCTAGTGTTATTAGGTTGAATGGAGGGGGGGGGGGGTAATTTTATGATACATGTTCTGAGTATAAAGTGTGGGGGGGGGGGTAATGATGCGTGTTCTGAGTATAGAGTGTTGCGAGTGAATATTAGTGCACGCGTGTGTTGAAAAATGAAGATGTGACGCGATTAGTATGATGGTGACGTAGAAGGTAAAAAAAAAAAACGTTGTTGCTATAGGATGAAAGCTAGGAGTTAGGGGCTAACTGTTGAAGAGGTAGGTTCTGGTTATGTTGTTGATGTAGATTGATGTTAACAATCTTTGAATAAAAACTAAATTAGGAAGAATCGGTATCCTGTTATCTTTTGTGATGTCTGTGACTTAGCGCTAACTCATAGAAGGAGTGAATGTTGTCAGAAGAACGTATACATTGGGTGATGATTATATCAGGAAGGTTGAGCCCTCTAACAACGAACCCCAACAACAATTTGGCTCTGTAGAGTGGGGGGGTGGCTTATAAATAGGTAACATCTTGCTCTGGGCAAAGCCATTTACACAAAACTTATATTTGAAAGCCTATATATAAGTGGGGGGGGGGGCTTTTTTGCCGCAGCAGAAAGTTGTTTGCTATCAGATATCCTGTGAAAGATTTATGGGGATCTTGAGTCTGTATGTTGTATGATCAAACACGAGCTAAGGTTTATTACTTTTTTCCCGTTAAAACAGCATGGGCAGTTCAACGTAAAAATATTTTTTATACACTAAAAAATTGTTTCATATCGAAACTTAATTGTTATCTTCAGAATCTATGTTTCCTTCTCTGAGAAATCTTCTAAGAATAGAAAACATTTCCTTGGTGTTTCGGTTAAGCAGAAGCTATTAAATCTTCCACCTTCACTAGCTTGAGATCAAACAAGCAGTTCCAAACAGAACTTCGGAGGCTAGTGTTTGTATAATAAACCTGTTAGCTCAGTTTTCATTTGAAATATTTTGTACTATTTTGAAGGATATTAGTTCTTGTGTTTAAAATTGTGTCTAGCTACTGTTTACTTCGGACATAAATTACCTTAGATCAAATTACATTTGACTTGACAATTTGACATTGATCTATTTATAAAATTTAACAACAAAAGTGTTTATTCCGTACATTGTAACATATTCTGCTGTTAATTAAAAGGATTATTCTTATACTCTCAACAAGCGCGTCTTGATCTGTTGTCCGCCGTACAAATTTAAATAAACCGGGAGTGATCTCCCCAAAACTTTCTCGAATATCTAATATATAAAGCTCAGATCTGTATGTAAAAATACATATGTTTGTCGCTGACATAGTTCCATGGATTAAAGTGTTAGATAAGTAAAGTCCTTATGGTCTGAATTTATGAGTTAAAAAAATAATATTGAAAGTTTTGGGGAATAATTTTCATTTATCAAACTGAAAGTAATAATTGTCGGCATATTCATTAAACACAAGTTTTAAAAAAATATCATCTTTTACAAAAATTCTAATTATGTCTTTATTTAGTCCTATAGCACTTACTTCCCTTTGATAAATTAGGAAAACACAATTACTTCCCTTTATAAAACCATTGCATTTGTGGAAAAGAATTTACTTTTTATTACTTTGTTTTGGTGTTGGGAAAAAAAATAATTACATAATTAGCGGGGATTGATCAAGTGCAAATGTTGTAGGTATTTTACGGATAAGCTTGGAGTATTATAATTGTTCATTAAATTGAAACAGGCGCGTTCGTTTGAGTGAGTGCAAAAGACTGTGAATAAGTTGGGGTACTATAGTCGTTCATTAAGCTAAAACAGGTGATTCCGCCCCGGGCGTTTATGTTCGCGTTAGTGTTTTCTTTGTGTTTAGGTGGGTTTGCGTTAGTGGTTGCGTTTTGATTTGGTTCGTTTTTGTTCTTTCTTTTTTCGTTTTTGTTTGTGTTTTTTTTCTTTGGGTTTGTATTTGTGTTTTTGGTTGGTTTTGCGTTTGGATTTGGTTTGTTTTCGTTTGCTTTTTCGTTGTTTTTTTTGTGTTGGTATTGGTGTTTGTGGTTGTGGTTGAGCTTGTTGTTAGGTTTTTGTTTTCGTTTGCTTTTTTGTTTGTTTTTTCTTTGTGTTTGTATTGGTGTTTGTGGTTGTGGTTGGGTTTGTTGTTAGGTTTTTGTTTTCGTTTGTATTTGTAATTGTGTTAGCGTTATGTTTGCGTTTTGTTGTTTTGGTTTTGGTTGGTTGTGGTTTGGGTGGGCAATATCGGGTTTATGATGATTACTAAACACACAGGTGATGGTCTTTAACAGAAAGGTTTTTCACAAAAAAATCTTGTCCGTATGTCTGTGTGTCTGTCTGTGTGTGTGTGTGTGTGTGTCCGTGTGTAAACACGATAACTTGAGTACCGTTACAGCTAGGTTGATGAAATTTCATATATAAGTATTTAATCAAAATTGTAGATCCATATCAACTTTTGAGCGATTTCCGATAACCGGAAGTGGTACTTTTCCTACTTTGAATTTTTCAAAAGCCTATAACTTGAGTACTATTTCAGATAGATAAATGAAATTTCATACGTAAGTAAAAGATCTAATTCTCTACCTTCTATTAAATTTTGAGTCATTTCCGTTGACTGGAAGTAGTACTTTACGCTACTTCCGATTTCTCAAAAAACTAATGTAAATTTTAAAAGTAATAATAATATTGCGCACTATTATGCGCTTTTTTATTTCGCGTTCACTTGGTGTGCAATTAATTTGTCTACGAGATTTTATTCTATTTTTAAAACTTTAAGTATTTAACATGGATTAAAAATCATGTCTATAGCCCGAGTTCCCATCCCCTGTTATTTTATATAAGAATATTCGAGAAAGTTTAGGGGAGATCACTCCCGGTTTATTTCTACGAGGTTTTATTCTATTTTAAAAAGTTTAAGTATTTAAAATGGATTAAAATGCATGTCTATATCCCGAGTTCCCATCCCATGTTTTTTTATAAAAGAATATTCGAGAAAGTTTAGGGGAGATCGCTCCCGGTTTATTAAGTTTGTTTAGTTACCGAAAACATCAAACACATTCAATCTTTAGTAAAATCTGACAAAAACCTCACAATCAACTTTTATAACCACATTTATATTAATAACATCGCACGTCTTTGTTTTTTTTTTTTATTTAATTAACCATTCGAGACTGACCACAGCTGCGATAATTAAAAAGTCAATTTGTATCGTCTGCACATGCCTACAGTTTCTATGAAAACCAAACCTTATCTTCCACACAATGCCAATGGGTGATCTCGTAACTTAGTTTTGACCTAATTTCTAATCTGGTGATTTCCTATGGATTTCCTAGATACATTTACCCCCCCCCCCCCCCCAACCCCACACCCCCTGTGAAATTTTTTTTTTTAAATGTCAATCCAGTGAGATATTTAATTAGTTCTGAATTTTAAGATTTCTGTATCCTGTGGGGGAGACAATATGCTAAAGGGGCAGATAACAGGGGCAGATAACAGGGGCAGATAACAGGGGCAGATAACAGGGGCAGATAACAGGGGCAGATAACAGGGGCAGATAACAGGCGCAGATAACAGGCGCAGATAAAAATGTGTTGTTTAAAATTGTGTTACGTCGATTCACTGAAAAAATTCACTGAAATGAACATATCGATACAATGCATTCGCATTTCATTTTTACTTTCTTGTATACAAAGTTGAGAGGAAGTATTGTAATCGTGCAAAAAATCGAAATCAAGTCGAGATTTTAGTAAATCTCGACGTTTTACACCTCCCTGAGTCGGAAAAACTAGTTTTGCAATTTTGTCCGTATCTGTGTGTGTGTGTGTATGTGTGTATGTTTATGTATGTGTGTATGTATGTTTGTCTGTGAACATGATAACTTGAGTACCTTTACAGCTAGGTTGAAGAAATTTCATATATTAGTGTTATATCAAATTTGTAGTTCTGTATCAAATTTTCAGCGATTTCCGATAACCGGAAGTGGAACTTATTCTATTTGCAATTTTTCAAAAGCATATAGCTCGAGTACTTTTTCAGATAGATAGATGAAATTTCACACGTAAGTAAAAGATCTAATTCTCTACTTTCCGTCAAATTTTGAGTAATTTCCGTAACTGGAAGTAGTAATTTACGCTATTTCCGATTTCTCAAAAAACGCATGTGAATTTATAAAGTACTAATAATATTCCGCAGTATTATACACATATTGTTTGGCGTTCACTTGGTGAGCATTTCTTTTTTCTACGAGATTCTATTCTATTTTAAAAGTTTTAAGTAATTAACAGATGGATTAAAAATCATGTCTATATCCCGAGTTGCCATCCCTCGTTGTTTTATATAAGAATATTCGAGAAAGTTTAATGGAGATCACTCCCGGTTTATTTTTAATTGGTATTTTCCTTTAATTGAACCATAGGGCCATTTTTGTCTGGCTTTACATAAATTCAGACAAGAACAGCCGTCTGCTGTTACTGACCAGACAAGAACAGCCGTCTGCTGTTAACCGAGCAGCTGAAGGATGCCCCTGCCTGCGGGAATCCAGGGCTGGTCACTCTGTGGGCTGGTGATGTTGATGCTGGGGTCACTCTTACACGTCATCGGGCTGGCCACGCCCGACTGGTCAGTCGGCTACCCCGAGAAGTCGTCGCCCCTGCCCAAGATATCTGTGGGCTTGTGGGAGGTCTGCATGAGCTTTTGCCAAGCTCTACTTCACCAGGAAAAGTCAGGTGAGTTCCAGGTGGCAGAAGGTTGACGCAGGTCATTCAGCGTGTTGCATTAAAATCTCACGACATGTATGTGTGACAGGTGGGGTGGGGGGGGGTACGACACACTACTCGTGTATATCGTGTATCTGACAGAGAACTGACCACATGTATCTGACAGAGATCTGACCACATGTATCTGACAGAGATTTGACCACATGTATCTGACAGAGATTTGACCACATGTATCTGACAGAGAACTGACCACATGTATCTGACAGAGATTTGACATGTATCTGACAGAGATTTGACCACATGTATCTGACAGAGATTTGACATGTATCTGACAGAGATTTGACCACATGTATCTGACAGAGAACTGACCACATGTATCTGACAGTGATCTGACCACATGTATCTGACAGAGATTTGACCACATGTATCTGACAGAGAACTGACCACATGTATCTGACAGAGATTTGACCACATGTATCTGACAGAGAACTGACCACATGTATCTGACAGAGAACTGACCACATGTATCTGACAGAGATTTGACCACATGTATCTGACAGAGATTTGACCACATGTATCTGACAGAGAACTGACCACATGTATCTGACAGAGAACTGACCACATGTATCTGACAGAGATTTGACCACATGTATCTGACAGAGATTTGACCACATGTATCTGACAGAGATCTGACCACATGTATCTGACAGAGATTTGACATGTATCTGACAGAGATCTGGAAGACCTGTGACGCCCTGGCTATCGTCGGAATGTTGTTCAGTTTCCTGTCGGTTGGCGCTGCTGCTTACGTCATGTACTTAAAGGTCAAGGCCAAGCCGGACAACGAATCGCTGGTGAAATTATCCACAGCCATGTCCATCTTGTCATGTAAGACTTTAAAGTCCAGTTCTCCATCAATCGATGTCAGCGTGCTGTGCTTGCGATGTTTTAAACTGATCTACCTTTAAGATAAACGTCAAGTAAAAGGAAAGCACACTCTCGAATCTGACGGTCCATACGGCGGGTGAGGTAGAGTTCACCAATTTAGTGACCTCGTCATAAGTATGGATAGTGTGGTCAGCACTAAGCTAGTCGCCATTACTTTCTTATAGTCAGCTGGGTGAACTCAGCGAGATTCTATGCACATGCACCCGGGATTCGAACTCGAGACGTTTGGATGAGCTGTCGTATACTCTACCATCCGATCACGCTAGCCCATAAGAATAGACTTCCTGGTAAAAATGTCTTAAATTAACCTCTGCTCGCCCAATACAATACATTTAATTGATTTGAAAATATAAGAAAACGTTAAGAGCTTAAACAAATCACCATCTATCACATACACCATCTAACGCATACACCATCTAATACATACACCATCTATCACATACACCATCTAACACCATCTAACACATACACCATCTAACACAGTGGTTCCCAACCTTTTTCGAGTGGCGACCCCCTTTTATAAAAAGTAAGTGACCCGCGACCCCCATAGAATTAAAAAGCCGAAATTAGTTTGGAAATTAATAAGCACTTAAACAAGATTTTCTAGTAGACTTTCAATATGAACTACTCTTAATAACTGTTTTAATAGCATGAGTAAAATTGCATACTATTCACTAAAACTTTGGGGGTAAGTTTTTAATTTTAAAAAAATTTTGTTAACGCCAACCTATGTCATTATAATTATCTTAATTTTGATTTTAATCGAAGAATAGTGTTGAAAAATTATTCTCAAAAAGTCAATCAATTTTACGTTTGGGTATGAATGGTGAATACTACACCAAAATTGTGTCTGCAGTTTTTCATCTTACTCGGAATCTTTCTGCAAATCAAAAAATTCATCTTGTAATTCATCGGGAATGCTGGCAACATCAAAGGACGAAGAGAATGGGAAATGCGTAAATGCAGATTCTTCTTTTTTCAGCTCAGAGAAATAGCGATGCAGTTCGTTTTCAAGAGATTCAAGATGCCCAGAAATCGCTTCTTTCAAAATTTTAATTATCTCACAATCAGATTCATCTACCACACCGCAGAGTTTCTCAAATTTACAACATGTCCAAGATGTATTTTCTTTACCGATTTTGTAGCTTTGATAATAATGCCCCGAGATTATTATGGAAAGTTATAATATTCGTTCATTTTCCCTGAAGCTTCAGGTTAAGCTTATCTTGATGTTCGAACACATCTGCTAGGTATGATACTCTCTCCAACCACTCTATGTAGTTTTAAGTATACCAAAAAGTCTTGTTTCCCTTGCACTTCCAAGAACAATTTGATTTCAGATTTCAATTCAAAAACACAATTTACAACATTTCGTTTGACAGCCAGCGTACTGTAGTGTAGAAGAGCAGAACCTACAGATCTATATTAATGTTTTGATGTCGATTGGTTAGGGCAGTGGTTAGGGAGCTAAATCTTTTCCGTTTTCTGAAAGCCCGATTTTGAGCTAAACATAGATGGCGCGCCATCCTTACAAACCTCCACAGCCGTTCTAACCCATTTTACTCATCCAGTTTCAAAAAAGGTATTTATTTTCTCCATGCTATCTTCATAAAAGAGCAACTCTTCTTTGCTATCATCCGCATGAATATAGACACAGACCAGCAACTGCAAACACGAACTCACGTCTGTTGATTTATCAACTTGAAAAGCAAACAATGGTGAAAGCTTATTTCAATAAAAATGTGTTATTTACATGCAGCGTTTAATGAGATTTTCTCCTATTGTTTTTTTTTTTTTTTTTTTTTTTTGCTTGGCATTTTCTATCGCGACTTCATTTGAGGCTTGCACTAATGCTGGTGAAAACTTCCTGTTCGATCAAGTCTCTGGCATTTGCAACTAGCTTCTTATCGACGAAAGAACTCCATATATTTTTGGTGTGTTCCGAATGACTCGTCTCAAATACGTTTTAGTTTTGAAGATTTAATAGATTAGTGACTGAGAACAACTTTGTACAGTGCGCTTTGTTTCTTCTCTATTACATTTCCAGTGATGTTAATGAAGCCGAATTTCAAAAATTCTTTTAAATATTAATGTTTTGTTTCAAATTACTAAGGTTTAGTATACCAGTTGGCGAACCCCCAGAAAGACCTTCGCGACCCCCAGTGGGGTCGCGACCCCCAGGTTGGGAACCCGTGATCTAACATATACACCATCTAACACACACATCTACCATCGTGAATTGAACCAGCTTGTTGAAATGTCCTCCAGTGTTGTCTATTTTGATCTGCACCATTATGTGGAGTGCGGGGCTTCACCCTGGGGTGGTCCACGACTTCTGGCCGGGGACACGCCACGACAAAATCTTTGAGGAGGGACCGGACATCGACCACAACACTCTCGGCTACTCTTTTATTCTCAGCATTCTGGGGGGCTGCCTGCTCAGTATTGGCGGAGTGATATTCTCGTGTTCCTTGAGAAAGTAGTTCCTGCCAGATGCGAACACGGACAGTCTAGGTCTAATGACGTCAGATTTTATCCAAGTCTTTATCCCCCACCAGCTGTACTCGTGTACACATTATTTTAACTCGCTTAAACCAATTTTTTTTCTTGTGTTAGATAATTTTTAAACTTGGAAATTCTTAATTTACATTTTTTTAAAATAAACGTTTAAATAACTACATTGTTGTGATGGTTTTTTTTTCATTTATTATTTTTTTAAAAAGTTGAAGTTAGAATTGAATGTTTGATCAAACATTGAAATAAATAAATGCGAACTTAGAGTTGACCAAACATCGAAACTATGATGGAAATATGTTGTGTGTGTACATCTCTCTTTCAAATGCTTTGAGCTTCTTTTATAAACGTTATATTGTTTATGCTTGCGATGAATATGTGCGATCTATTTGAAACTACTGCATTCAAATCTTTTAATTTGCACACTGAGTTTTTCTAAAAGTACACAACACAAATCTAGGGTCATTCTGTAATTTCACACGCAGTAGTTGTATATAGCTGCAGCAAATGTTCTAAATAGCTGCAGCAAATGTTGCTGTAAATAGCTGCAGCAATTGTTAAATATAGTTGCAGCAAATGTTGCTGTAAATAGCGGATGCAAATGTTGCTGTAAATAGCTGCAGCAAATGTTGCTTTAAAAGCTGCAGCAATTGTTCTATATAGCTGCAGCAATTGTTCAATATAGCTGCAGCAAATGTTCTATATAGCTGCAGCAAATGTTGCTGTAAATAGCAGCAGCAAATGTTGCTGTAAATAGCTGCAGCAAATGTTGCTTTAAAAGCTGCAGCAAATGTTCGGTCGGATATCAAGTCTAGATATCAACACTCTGTTGACAAATGATATCAACACTCTGTTGACAAATGATATCAACACTCTGTTGACAAATGATATCAACACTCTGTTGACAAATGATATCAACACTCTGTTGACAAATGATATCAACACTCTGTTGACAAATGATATCAACACTCTGTTGACAAATGATATCAACACTCTGTTGACAAATGATATCAACACTCTGTTGACAAATGATATCAACACTCTGTTGACAAATTTAATCTAGGCCTAGAATCTAGTAGCGAGCTTGGAATGACGTCTTCAAATCTATTTATAGATGTCAGGCGTCATATAAAATTGGCAAAATCTTTAGATGCGACGTTTGAAGATATTGTACTTGGTTAGGCAAATAGACATTCTACACAATGTAGCCTTAAGGCAGATTTGCAACTACGATAAGCAAAACAAAGTTTACTCAATATAAAAATTGTATTTTGTTTTTTACATTTTACCTTTCAATGTACAAGTAAGTTTAAATACAGAACTTTTTACAAGCTTTTATTTAACTCACTTCCTCGTCAGTCTGTCGACAGTCTGTCGTCAGTCTAGATCGAAACGCAGGAGTGCAAATTCGGACAGTTCTACTTGACCGACACGATTCACAGTTGGCACGTGGGTCAAGACATGAAGACAATGCAATCTGAAACTAAATTTGACTTAATTGGATGCCTAATTAATTTCTTATGAATTAATTAAAATTTGGACCGAATTAGTAGGCATGTCTATCCAACCACATCACTCGCGTCATCACGTTCAATAGCTGCGTCATCAGGTTTAATAGCTGCGCCATCACGTTCAATAGACGCGCAATGGTTTTTAGTCATGTAACACTATTGTAAATAAAACATGTAAAGTACTGGGAAAAAAATCATAAAAAACGTTTTAATAACAAGCTTTTATGTAATGATGCACTAAAAAGTAGAAAATAAATTATACACAACTATTTAAATTACTATAAGGAAAAGCGTGGGTCTCTTCTCAAATATTAGTAAAGGTATCCAATAGGCACTAAAGTACTAAAGTGACCCACGCTTTTCTTTATAGTAATTTAAATAGTAGTCTATAATTTTTTTTCTCTACTTTTTAGTGCATCATTGCATAAAAGCTTGTTATTAAAACCTTTTTTATGATTTTTTTTTTACTTTTATAGACATTCTGCAGTCCTTCCATATGTTTCTATAGCACATCCAACAATATACATTCCACTGTCCTACCATCTATATCAGGGGTTCCCAACCCCGTGCCCGCGGGCACCATGGCGCCCGCCGAACGATTCGTGTGTGCCCGTCTCTCACTATTCGACAGAGACAGAATTTTTTTCATAAACATTATTGAAAGGTTGAAGGGGATGGAAATCGAAATTTTACCGGGGGGGGGGGTGCAAATGGAAAATTTGAGGGGGTGGGGGGTGCAAATCGAAAGTTTGAGGGGGGGTGCAAATCGAAAGTTTTGTCCCCGGGTGACGGGAAGGGTCGCTACGCCTCTGGAAAGAATTTGTCGATTTAAAATAGGTGGTGCCCGCCAGCCTACCAATATTTTAGAATGTGCTCTTGAGTAAAAAAAGGTTGGGAACCCCTAATCTATATATATAATTCTCTTCTTGGGGACGTTAGAAAACAAGCTGTAAGCGCGCTCCCTACCACCCCGACCCCTACATGGTCTGGTGAGCTGTTTAAAATCGTAGAGCCGGGTTTAGTGACGGCTATTAGGGGCAGATAATTTAGTTTGAAACGATTTTAATCTTAGGGGAGGTAACTAAGAGGAGGCTGCTTTCACGGGGGGGGGGGGGGATGGGGTGTAGGGTAGGGGTTGGGGGAAAGGAGGGGGCAGAGGCGTAGCGACCCTTCCCGGCGCCCGGGGACAAACTTTCGATTTGCACCTCACCCCCCTCCCCTCAAGATTTTGATTTCCACCCCCCCCCTCAACCTTTCAATTTATTTTTCCAACCCATTTTGTCGCTCCATAAGGTCGGCGCCCGGGGACATATGTTATCATCCTTAACAAGCTACTGATAGTGTTTTAAGCAAATATTTTCAGTGGCAGCATTGGTACTGTCGCATTCACAAATCATGAATTACTGAAAAGTAGAAAATAAAACAACTAAATAGCGGCGTATGATACGCCGCGGGTCGGCTCGTAACTTTATATAGCACATCTAACAATATACATTCCACTGTCCTACTTTCTATAGCACATCCAACAATATAGGCCTACATTCCACTGTCCTACCACAACTTTATATAGCACATCCAACAAAACTACAAGTTTCTCTCAACATTGTATTTAAGTTTGTGTGTGTATATCTGTGTGTATATGAGTGTGTGTATATATGAGTGTTTGTATAAGAGTGTGTGTGGATATATGACACAATATCCTACACGAAAGGGAAGCAGACACTGATTAAAATATGTTTTCCCTGTACGAATTCTAGATTTTTCTATCTCGTTCGAGGATGCTGGAAAAACTGCCCCCACCCCCTTCCTTTCCCTCTTCCTCTTCCAGATCCATACATTTTCAATTTCTGTTGTTAAATTAGCTTTTAAATTTAGTAAGGGGATATAACCAAGTTAATTTGAATTAGCCGAAAATATTTGTGGGGTTATCGTTATTAACGTTAAATTCTTTGGGTAGAATTTATAACATTTAAAAATAGCATCTTTAGGTAGAAATTATTACATTTTTAATCAGCATCTTTGGTAGAATTTATCACATTTTTAATTAGCATCTTTTGGTAGAATTTGTCACATTTTAAATTAGCATCTTTGGTAGAATTTATCACATTTTAAATTAGCATCTTTTGGTAGAATTTATCACATTTTAAATTAGCATCTTTTGGTAGAATTTATCACATTTTAAATTAGCATCTTTGGTAGAATTTATCACATTTTAAATTAGCATCTTTGGTAGAATTTATCACATTTTAAATTAGCATCTTTTGGTAGAATTTATCACATTTTAAATTAGCATCTTTTGGTAGAATTTGTCACATTTTAAATTAGCATCTTTGGTAGAATTTATCACATTTTAAATTAGCATCTTTTGGTAGAATTTATCACATTTTAAATTAGCATCTTTTGGTAGAATTTATCACATTTTAAATTAGCATCTTTGGTAGAATTTATCACATTTTTAATTAGCATCTTTTGGTAGAATTTGTCACATTTTAAATTAGCATCTTTGGTAGAATTTATCACATTTTAAATTAGCATCTTTTGGTAGAATTTATCACATTTTAAATTAGCATCTTTTGGTAGAATTTATCACATTTTAAATTAGCATCTTTTGGTAGAATTTATCACATTTTAAATTAGCATCTTTTGGTAGAATTTATCACATTTTAAATTAGCATCTTTTGGTAGAATTTATCACATTTTAAATTAGCATCTTTTGTAGGTACGACACCGGAAGTCAAATAAGTTTATTTTTAGCCATGTCATGCTTGTGCTATTTGTGACTACCACCACCCCCATCTTCCCTTTCCCCTCACCCAAACTTTGAGAAGCCTTGATCAGACAGACTTTGAGAAGCCTTGATCAAGGAAGAAGAAGTGCTTAGAGTGACTTGTGTGTAAATAAACTCGAGCATAAACTTCCTGTTTCTCGTGTGTCGACGTGTGTAGCGACCTACAGCACAGCTTTGGGGCCGTGTACAACACACGTCAGGACGTCAGGACTAGGTCCTGTACAACACATACAAGGACGTCAGGACTAGGTCCTGTACAACACACGTCAGGACGTCAGGACTAGGTCCTGTACAACACATACAAGGACGTCAGGACTAGGTCCTGTACAACACACGTCAGGACTAGGTCCTGTACAACACACGTCAGGACGTCAGGACTAGGTCCTGTACAACACATACAAGGACGTCAGGACTAGGTCCTGTACAACACACGTCAGGACGTCAGGACTAGGTCCTGTACAACACACACGAGGACGTCAGGACGTCAGGACTAGGTCCTAGCCTGAAGTCTGGACATCAACTTACAAACTGGGACAACTTGCTGGGCCTAGGATTGCAATATGTTCAACACACTAAGTTGGGCCTAGGATTACAATATGTTCAACACACTAAGTTGGGCCTAGGATTACAATATGTTCAACACACTTAGGTTGGGCCTAGGATTAGAATATGTTCAACACACTAAGCGAATCATTTGGGATTCGAACAACACTTGATTTACGATCGAAAATCAAGGTCAATACAGATCAAGGTCAATACAGATCTCTTATTGATCTGGTTCTAACGTTCAATGCTGGTAGGGATTTATCTACATAGGGTTAACAGGTTAGTCGCCTC